GGCTCTTTCCAGTGTATCTTAGTTAAATCTGCAATGTTTTATCAGATGTGTCATTTAATGTGAGAACATTTTGTAAGTGGTCATTAAGGTACAAACATGTAATACTTAAAATGAAATGGGAAATGAATGCATACAAAATATTTAAACATATGATGTTTTATTCAAGTTAATGTTTTTAGAACATCAGATTCTATCGAAATTAAAAACTGAAAGCAAGCTATCGAAATTAAAAACTGAAAGCAAGCCTCTTTATTAGCTATAGAAATTGAAATAATTTTCTTGGAAATTACACCTACATTCACAGACGTTGCTATAAATAAAAAAAGAAGTACATTGTGACCGAGATGCTATTTTCCGTTCAATTCCCAGACACCTTTTAAGTTAAATATTGATATAAATTGGAAATTTTTCAAAAAAAAAAAAGGAAGGAGTGATTAAGTTGCTGTAGACAGTCTAACACTTTTTTTGTTTTAAAGATTATGTCTTATTTCAAATGAGATGTTTATTCTTTCATCTGTATCATGCCTGTAACTTGCTTCGATTTGATATTGAGTTTAAGATGAATTTGTGTGTAGAAATTTTAAATGCCTAAACGCCTATGATCCTTTTGCTATGGAACACGTACAATTGGTAGACTTTTGTGGCAATTTTGATTTCTGAACATGTCCAGAACGAGAGTCTTAACTAAGTAACAAATGAGGTCACATGCAAGAAGCATGTTGAATATGTGTGATATAGTCCGGGTATATTTTAAATATGAAACTGTTCATTGCTAATTTAACTTTTAACCTGACGAACAAACTTTAAATTTGGAACAGTCCATTTGAATTTTTTTGGATTTCAGCATCAAAATACAGTATTTGAATCAACAACAGTATAGAACTCTGTGAAGCTGCACAGATGTGCGGGCTTCAGACTCGGGTTTTATACTGGTAGCAGAGGCTTATAACTTACCATCACAGCAAGATAAGAGGCAACTTTTCTGCACAAAATTTTGTCATTGTTCAGTAAGGGATAGATTTCAAAATTTCTTGTCAATTTAAAGCCTGCCTTCCAACTAACTTTTGCTTAAAAAAAATGACAACAAATAATTCGTTCATTTTACACATTGATAAACAAAAAAGAACAGAACTCATTTGTAAGTTTGTAAGTGAATGGAATGTCTACCATCTGGGAAGTGTCTTCAGTAGCCAGCTGATGCCAATCATGATAGAGTGCTAGAGATATTTTCCCACGCATCCTCTCCCCTTCCCCCCATCCATTTATACCTACATTATCTTTAAATTAGCTTACCTACAGTAAATCTTTACTTTTGTACTGTGTAATAAACATGACCTAGAATTCCTGTTTCAGTGTGCCATGCTGCCATGTATTTCATTCGTAATACATAATGGCATTTACATATCTGTTGTCTCCTTGAAAATTGTTCTGACAAAGAGAATTATCAGATCTTGTCAGATATATCAAGTAGAGTTTCTTCCTTGTGCATTTTAACTTAAATACTGAAATTATACCAAATTATTAGATTAAATTCTGTTGAAATTACATGTTCAGGGCTTTACATACAATGGTGAGGGTAAATTATGCTGAACATTTACTGAGTTTTGAATAACATCTATATAAAGTTAGGAGTCTTTAAGTCTTTAATTGCAGTGGTGAAGGATGATAAAGAACAAATGAGCCGCGTCACGACAAAACCAATGTTATGCGTTTATGACCAGCATGGATCCAGACCAGTCTGATCAGGATCCATGCTGCTATTACAAGTAGAGAAACTGATAGCGAACAGCATGGATTCTGATCAGACTACGCGGATGCGCAGGCTGGTCTGGATCCATGCTGGTCGCAAACTCACTATGTTGGTTTTGTCTTGACGCTGCTCAAATGTATTATATGTTATTATCTTTCTAACAAAATTATCTTTCTTTTCATTGTTCTCCAAAAATAGTTATTCAATGACTGTGACATTAAAAAATTAAAAGCCAAAAGATGAATATTAAAAAATGGGTGGATTTTGGTTGTGTTTACTTTTCATATATGTGAACTTCATGTAAAATTCTTCAGATAGTTAATTTATTATAAGTTAAAACATGATAAGATGTAGGTCATACACATTACTTAAAATATCTATTTCAGAAAAAAAAAAACGGTTCATGAATTGGCTTTAAGATATTTGAAAGAAAAAAAACGCTAGACTTATGAACAAGCTTTTCAAAAAAGTGTTATAAACTTAGATCTTGAAACAGGAAAGATTAGGAAATTACAAGTTTCAGTTATTGCATGTCTCGTCGGATTATTTTACATACTTTAAATATAGAATGCCATATAAGGGAAACTGTTAAGACTGTTTTGGTAGGATATATCTTGTTCACATATGATATTAATATCGTTCACTTTGTTTCTGCAATCGGAGACATACAAAATGACTCAGACTTAAGGATAAAAGATACAAGTGTTCGTTTCATGTTATCCAGTCCAAAATTTTGTTATTAAAGGGACTTCATTCAGGCTTTTTGACAAGACAAGACTGGAAATAATCTTTGGAGATTAATGCTCCATTTGATGTAGGTCCAGACCAATAGCTTGTCTGCAAAAGTTTAGATCATTGGCTCATGCCATATTTCCAGAATGATTATTCTAATGATCCAAACTTGGAAAGCTCTGCAACATTTTTCACTCAAATCTGGCTAAAAAGCACACATACACACAAAGATTTTTAATTTATTCCAAGTATATTTCTTACATATCTTTTGCATATTTTTTTGTTTTAAATGCCCAAGAAGATCTATTTAAATTTTATGTTTTTAAGCTATTGGACCGCAGTGGAGTTCCTTTAACCCCAAAACTTTTCATATATGTTCTTGTTGATTGAAGCACTAGAAAACATACTTGCAACTTACAGCTGCGGGTTCAAACCCATGGCTGAAAAAATGTAGGAAAGGCGAAACATACGTAAGGTCTTCCTCTAGCAATAAAGCTGGAAACGTGCTGTTTGACCCTCAAATCAGTGCCAGTGTGTCTTTGAATTTAGCAAATCAAACAAACGAAAACTTAAGAAAATTGTACTGAAATTTTTAATACAACAAGAAAAGAGACAATAAACAACCAGAAAAGGATCAGAAACAAATATATTTTAGGCCAATATTTAAATATTTATAAAATCTGGTAAAATGTGTGTTTCTGAATATGAAATTACAGGTTTGTCATAGTATTGTACTTTTTGTAATGCACAGTAAGCCCTAATAAGGTAAAATAATTAATGTTTTGGAAAGGGTTTTTTTTAATGTCTAATAAACAAAGTATTTTAGAAATGTCCATTCAGTTTGTTAATTTGAGGAATTTGATGGTGAAATCAAGACATAGTTTTCTTTACTGGCTGGCCTGACCCAATACAGGTGGCAAACTATGTACCTTTCAGTGTAATGGAATGTATTTGAGAGTGTTGCTGTGTTTGTTTCTCTCCAAAATCATGAAGAAAGCAATAGGTGTGTTTGGTCCTTCATTAGAACAATAATTGGTTACACAATCTATTCTACCCAGAATTTTTCATCTCCATGGAAATGTAATTATAAATAGTAATATCTATTATATTTCATTTTGTATGTTACATAATAGTTTATGAAAATAAAACATTCTATTAGTTCTTTGTAACTTTATATACAAAATGTATTCAGAAACAGGTGCTACATGTTTATGCATTAAAGACCTGATTTCAGGCAGGTTGTGATAATATACTACAATATAGGCTTTATGTAGATACATACTCCTGGAAAAATCATGATTATCCCTGACAGAATTAGCAAACTTACAATATACACCTGTATTCAGATCATTGTGTAATTTGTGTGTTCAAGTGTATATATTTATATAATAATATATTTGATGTAAATTTTGTATAATACACCATTGTATATTATGTGCCAGTACACTTTTTACATCAGTGCCTTTCTGTATATATTTATGCAATTGTACACAATGTATCACAATTATGTTTCATGCAGTTTAAGCTGCAAGAAAAGAATCCGGGGAGCATACTGTATAATTCAGTGGCTTTTGTTTTACCTCTGACCTTCATTGTGGGTTATGTGTCTTTTTCTTGCCAATTATCAATTCTTTGTGAAAACTTGAACCATATGGCTATAAAAGGTTTGGGGGCTATTGTTTCACGGTTTTTTCATTAAGGCTAAAAATAGATTTGTCATTTGTTCACTCTGATAGAGCGGACATTAATTGACCAGTATCTATGGTATGTTTCAGTTACCTTGCATGGACATCTAGCTTAAAATCTTAAGTTGATGGGGGCAAGGTCACTATGGCTTAAGAAAAAAGAAATAAATTTTTAGCTTGACTTTTCAAAGAATAAGGAGAGCTATTGTACTTATATCGGCATCACACTTTGGTGCAAGTAGAGGTCTTCAAAACTACTGTTGAGACTTTACAGTTATTTGAGGTCACTTTCCAAGGCACCTAATTCTAACATGGATTTTGACAGAATAATGGCCTTTTTTGAACTCCAAAAATTATACATTATCCAAGCTCTTGTTTTACTTTATCAAGCACTGAGAAAAGATGTTCATGTTCTCCTACAAGCAGCTCTTTATCCCATTTTGATAGGAGACTTAAATAAGATTTTGGAATAAAATTAGATTTTTCATCTTTTTTTATAGAACCTGTATTGTTTTACTGACTTACTTGGTTATTTAGTTTTATAGTTAGTTTTTATGGACTTCTACTGTTTTGTTTGTTTTAAAGTCAATTTGGGTCAGACTGGGATGGGGGGAGCATAGTAAAATAAATTAAATTTTTCAACTTTTCTTAGTGAATCAGTGTTTTTTGCAATTTAAAGCGGTGTAGAGGTTAAACTGTGGGTATTATTATTCTTTTATTAATATCATGTTAAGTATGTGCATATTGTTGTAAAATTTGCTTTTAACATCATGTATAATGTAATTAATATGTTTGTGTATTTTGTAATTAATATGTTTGTATTTATGTTTCAGGTTTTTAGACTCCAAACACAAAGACCATTACAGAGTATATAATTTGTAAGTACTGTATTATTATTAGATATTTGTTAACTTCCTTAAACTAGCAGTTTTACAGGTTTTCTTCATTCTCTAAGTTTTAAGTGCTGTCTACTTTTAGCTTGTCTGTTTCGAAGAAAATGCCAAGCTATTATGATCGCTGTGGTACTGTCATCATGTGTTGTGGTGCAAAAATTTTAATGTAGCCCATAACTCAAATAATTTTAAAAGATTCAATATGAAACTGGGAAAACTTGCTTATCCTGACAAGACGCAGTTGTAAGATGAAAGACAAGGGGCATAATTCTGAAAGCTATAGTTTTGTTAACTTAGAAATTTTGTCAAAAGTGGTTATATTAATAGTCAAGTGTGAACACTGCATGGGATGCTCTAGGGGTCACTCACTCACACTAGTGCAATTGTGTCTAAGCACAAGTGGAGTCAAGAGACTTTCTATAAACAGAAGCTTATTTTACGAATGAATACAATATAATGTTTGAAAAGAATTTCTGCAATCTCTTTGTCCTCTTCACTCTAAGCCTGCTGGCATCTACTGTGAAATGAGAATATACCCATGCGACCAGTGCAGACCAAGATCAGTAAGCACAACCGTTTGCACTTCTTGCTATTCAGTCAGCAAATATTTTGAGGTTTTTCCGGAAAATCACGAATGGTCTTGTTAAACATGTCCATTTTAGATATTTTAAAGCTTTGGTAAAGATCAAATGTGCATGTTTTTATTTACATGCTCGATATAATATTATATATATCTGCTTGATATATACATTTGTATATCTAAAAATTAAGAATACATGTAAAGTATACACAAGGCATGACTTTAATATTCCAAGGTCAGGAAAAAAAGGTTATATTATAGCATAATATGAGTAGTGCTTATATTTCATATCCCTTGTAAATACACACTTGTCAATTCATTGTACCTATTGTGAAGACAGAAATTTGAAGCATTTTCTTAAAAGAGCACTATTTGCGGTTTTGCAACACCCTCATATTATATAGTTTAAGTACCGTGTCAAGAACCTCAATGTGAAATTACCCTTTGATTATGATATGTTACAGAATATATTATGTACAGTGTTACGTGTCATAATTAAGTTTAAGTTGCGGGCTGTTATTTTAATTTGTACTTTAGAATTTTCGATTACGTGGTTTGGTTTTTTCAGTGTTTTAAATGAGATAAGGCCAAGAATAATGTTTGTTTCTTGATACCTTGAGAAAATAAAGGACGTTTATTAGATCAGCTTTATGTGCTGTTAAAACTATTATTTGAATTATATACAGTCTTACTTTTTATATGCCCGAAAGAATTTCGGGCATATTATGTTATACCCCCTGGCGTCCGTCTGTCCGTCCATACAGACGTCCGTCCGTTAGCAATTTGGTTTCCGGAGCATAACTTAAGTTTGAGCATAACCCATTTGGCCGACAATATTCAAACTTCATAGGATGATTGTCCATATTGGGTAGAAGACCCCTATTGATTTTGGGGTCACAAGGTCAAAGGTCAAGGTCACTATTACCTTAAAACTGTAAACAGTTTCCAGAGCATAACTTAAGTTCCATTTGGCCCACAGTGTTCAAACTTCATAGGATGTTTGTCCATATTGGGTAGAAGACCCCTATTGATTTTGGGGTCACAAGGGAAAAGGTCAAGGTCACTATTACCTGAAAACAGTTTCCAGAGCATAACTTCCATTTGGCACACAGTGTTCAAACTTCATAGTATAATTGTCCATATTGGGTAGAAGACCCCTATTGATTTTGGGGTCACAAGGTCAAGGTCACTATCACCTTAAAACTGAAAACAGTTTCCGGAGCATAACTTAAGTTCCATTTGGCCCACAGTGTTCAAACTTCATAGGATGATTGTCCATATTGGGTAGAAGACCCCTATTGATTGTGGGTTAAAATGGTCATGTGACAAACTTGTAGATGCTCTTTTTCATTTGGGTTAAAATGGTCACATGACACATTTGGAGAATTTTGCTCTTTTCTTTGCTCTTTTCATTGGTTGAAATGGTCATGTGATATACTTGCAGGTGCTCAGAGAGGAAGTATGATGGGGCAAAGTTCCACAATCGTGTGGTCATGTACCCATTTGAGGACCATCACCCGCCACCTCTGGAGCTTATAAAGCCATTTTGTGAAGAACTTGATACATGGCTTCATGGGGATTCTCGAAACATTGCAGCTATACATTGTAAAGCTGGAAAGGTATGTATTACAACTTAATATATTAAGTAATAATAAATATATGTGAGCAGAAAGTTCAGTGGAGTTTTCGTCACCCTTTATGGAATAAGTCAGGACTTGCTTTAATGGGATTTTTCTTTTTAGTTAATTTGGGCAAACTGGAACATCATTTTTGGATGAAGTGTTTTGGAAGCAGACAAACCAAAATTTGCGTTTTATATATAATCTACCCCAGATTGGTTTGTATATGAACTGATGATACCTAGGATCTGCTTCCATTAGTACAATGTAATTTAATCCATATTTTAGCATCTAAGAAAATAGGGAAATCATAATCAGTGGCATAACGCACTTGTATAAAGTTTATCAGACTTTATATTATTAGCCACTAAAGTTATTCATTTTACTCTTCACATTTGACTTCATATTGATATCTAAAGGTTAATATTCAAGAGCCATAACTCTTGCATGGAGTTTTACAGAGTTTTTCACCTTCAGGCTTTGTAAAGTTTCTGTATATTTTCCTCAAGTTGTAGTAATCAAAATTTTAAGTTCCTAGTGCACTGTGTGTTTTACAGCTGAAGCTATTAAACAGTCTTATAGTGGCAGATTTTATATAATTTTACAATTTATGGACAGAGAAAAGAAAACTGGTTAAGTTTTCCTTATTTTGTATAGATATTTATTTGATAAAATATCAGACTACATTTATTTAATTCACAGTTTCACTTCCTGGTGAAAAACTTAAAAGTGTATTGAATTTCAACTCTTAATATCAAAAATGTCATTTCAGTTTAAGATTATGGCTGAAGTAAACAAACATTTCTTATACTTTTATGATGCTATGTACTGTAATGACCAGAAATATTTACATATTAATGTAAAGTGATATTGAGAAAAGTTCAAGAATGATTGATTGATTGAAAGTTGTTATGTTAGGCTCAGTACAGATTATTTCTTCCGTTGGAAATGTTTATTTTAGTCCTATCTTAAGTTATCTTCATCTTTATATGAAGGTAATTGAAAATTGTTAAGGAATGTTTTAAAGAAGCATTGATCTATCATCACTTTAGTAAAGATAGAATTGTAGTAAATGTTTTCCTTGATTTTTTTGCGACTAAGACAAAACTGAAAATGTACTCTGTGAACTGATATAAACAGTGGAAGATAAAATTTAACACTTAATACATAGGAGTCTTTTTAACATTTCTTGTTTAAAGATTTATAATAACACTGAAATTAAAACAATTTTTTGTCGTTTTTGTTTGGTCATTTGCAAAACTTATCTCTTGGCATGTTTTAGATGATTTTACAAGGGGCTGTAACTGTAGTTTTACTCTGATGCATTCCTCTAATGTATTTGTTGATTTTCAGCTTTAATTTGATTTTATTAAAAAAGCAATACTGAATCGATCTTGAAATCATAAAAAAAGTTTTTATTGAAAATTACCTGAAAATGAAATAATACAGAAATTCAAGTAAAGTCAATTGATTTATTCAGTAAATAAATGCCACTGGCCCAAAAAAAACATATCATACAAAATTTAATGTTCAACATTTTAAGGGTTGTGTCATAAGTCATGACAAATTCTTATATTGCTAGGTAGGGATCTTGATGTAATAAATATAAGCAGAAATCACAAAATTATCATTTGATGATAATAATTCATAGAATTTAACTAATTCAGTTCTGGAATTATACCAATTTAGTAAATAGGTATTTCTAAATTTTAAATATTTGCTTCAATAAAGAAAATGAAATAATATAATTTAGGGGCGGACAGGGGTGATGATATGTGCGTACTTGTTGCATAGAAGAAAGTTTACTGATGCGAAGGAATGTCTCGACTACTATGGTAAAACTAGGACAAGAGATGGGAAGGTGAGCTGCGTTAAAATGTTGTTTTTTTATGTTTGTTTATATAAATATGGTAAAATTGTTTCCCTAAAATGAAATTTCAAAAATGGAAATAGTCAGAAATACCTTGGAATTTCCAAATTTTATTTCCGCCTGATTAGTTCAATAAGGAAAGCATTGGATTTGTAATGCATTGATTGCTGGCTCCATCCTTTGACAAGACAAAAATTTTCTTTGACAATCAATCTTGGCATGGAGTCTTATGGTCATTTGGGTAAAAATTGCTCAACTAGCCTTTGATGTTTATCATAAAAATAGAATGTTATTGGCCATTAGCTAATTACCAATGGGTGAAATGGTTATAAATTCTTTATAGGATGCCATTTAAAGGTAATTTTTACTATGACATCGTGACTGGAAAATAGTATTATACAAAGTAATTTTGCATCTTTGAAATATCATTGAAAATTAAGGATCTTGGATATTTCTATGGAATATTAATTGAGTAATAGATTTCAGTATGTAATGCCATGGTAACTGATTGTATAACTGATGATAAGAACAATTGTCAGTTTGCGCAAGAATTAGTGATAGTAGTATTGCTAATGAATGAAATTCATTCATTGTTAGTGTAAAAATGGAAAAGTTAATTTGAGCCGCGTCACGACAAAACCAACATAATGGGATTGCGACCAGCACAGTCTGATCAGGATCCAGCTGTTAGCTATCAGTTTCTTTACTTGTTATAGGGTCTGTAAGCGAACAGCATGGATCCTGATCAGACTGCGCGGATGCGCAGGCTGGTCTGGATCCATACTGGTCGCCTGGTCGCAAACCCATTATGTTGGTTTTGTTGTGACACGGCTCATTTGCTTTTGAAATGCGTTCAATGCCGTTCATAATAGGTGACACACCAATAAAGCCAGGGTAGTATCTAATTTTCTTCCTGATTAGGTTATCAAGTAAGTAAAGAAAGCTTTTATATACAGAGATCTATCTTCAATCTGTTAAAGCAAGTTTACTTTCCTCATTGGTGAAAAATGATTTCTACCTTTTATTTGGGAAAATAATGTATTAAGATATATATATGTGTATATGCAATGGTATTTTGGTAAAGTACTTTTGATAAAATTAATGTAATGTCATATACCTGTCATATCTATATTTAAGTTTTGCATAATAAATGACCCATTACTTACATTCAAACAGCATAAAGGATGGCCCACCCAGATAACTTGATACAAATTAATGTTGCTCCTGATGGATTGATTCTGTTAATGTAATGCTTTTTCTTCTTGATTTTTACTGTCATATTTTTATATGCATTGGTCAAAATGTTTGCCAATTTAGATAGTCTCTTGTTTCTTGCTTTATATTCTATAAGAATTTTGGCCCACTTTCCTCCATCAGAAGTTTGGAGATTAAGAGAATAGTTAGGACTGGTATTAATTATACTGTTCAGATTAATAGCAAAAGACAATCAATTTAAAATCATATCCTTAAGGTAGATCATGTACTTTAATCTGACAGAGGAAAACTGGCTTCATTGTAATTCTGTGTTTCTGTGAAATCCTGTATTGTTTGTATATTGATATTTGTATTTTCTGATCGTAAGATCAGTAAATACATAGCTAACATCCACGGTCTAACACAAAATTTCCTAACAGTCCTAACAACGCAAAGTAGTTCTCACTCAAAGCTGCTTAAAAACCAGCAATTTAAAAGAAAGAATAATTTTTAATGTAGGCATTTAACGAATTACAGTGCATTAAAAGTTTAGATTAATCAATAGAAATATGAGGTTACAATCACAAATTTCGCGGATGAATATCTTTTTTACCCAATGAAAAATGTTCGGCTATTTCCGTAAAGCTTCGGATTATCATGAATATCATTTTAATCAATGAAAATGCTATTTTTAGCTATGCCGATTACCGAATACTCCAGAGCGTAGTACACAAATAAATCTGACTGTCGATAAGTGTCCGACTTTATTTGTCATCTAATGAAAACGCTGTATTTCTGTGCGTTAATTTTCATAGAAGAACAAAAGTCGATACTATATCGAATTCCGTCCATAGTTTTCATAGTACTTCACAGAACCGCATAGTGACGTAATAAAGCGAATGATAATGAGGCCAAATAAAGTTTGACACTAAATATGTTAGTATTCATCCGTGCTATTCTACAGAAATTAGAAACATTCTCCTGTCGCTATCGCTCCTGTCGAAATTTCTAATTTCTGTAGAACAGCACGGATGAACACTAACATATACGTAGTGGAATATATACATGTCGGACTGTTTTGGCGAGAAGATTTTCGATAAATTATTTTCATCAGTGTTAAACAACACGTTTATCGTGAACAAAATACCTCGAAATTAATAAGGATTACAAACACGAAATGGAAATTCTCAATTTAGAATTACATAATGTATTCGTTTTTATTCAAGGTTCATATGTATAACTTCGCCGTGGTGCAGAGGTAAGCGGTCTCGTTGAGGGTGTGAGAGGCATATGGTTCAAATCCTAATCGAGGCAATTCTATTTTTTTTTCATGCAAAATTCCATATGTAAATCTCAAACTGTTATAGAAGAAAATCAAAACGCTGTCGCTGCGTATGATGAATTATAGTATATAAAAATAAACTTATACAGGAAAGTACATACAGATAGTCAGTATGATTTAGATTGCAAAGATCAGAAAATACCATAGAGCTGCAGCCCTTTTTTACCAAACTGTCTCTTTGTAGACATTGTAATTTTTTACATTGTACTACCAGTATAGAACTCTCATATTTGATTGGCTGAATCATATTTAAATTTAAAATTTGACTAATCACAGTCACTTGCAGACTAGTTAACTGACATTCTGATTAATAACCCATAACCTGCTGAATTTCTTAAATGGACTTTTCCAGCTTGCATTTTTGGAACAGTCTATTATCATTTCGGGGATATCAAGATGAAAATTTAAAGTTTTAGTTATTACAACAGGGTAATGGTTATAGATGCATTTCTAGTAATTTCAAACTAAGGTTTAAAGAAGCAATGCCTCCAGATTTATGCTTATTTTCATGAAATTTTTGAAAGTGAATTTAAAGGTAAAAATCTTGTGAAGAGAAGAAAAAAGTTATTTACAATCCAATGAATATCTACGTCAACATATGCAAAAAAAGACTCTTACTGCCTTAATTACGCAGTAGAGTATGGTGATAAATACTGCGAATCAAGTCATTTATAACATGTAAATTATTACTTGAATCTTGAATCATTTTACTAGTACAGTAAACTCCGCTTATAACGAACTCATTGGGACATTCAAAATATGTTCCTTATATCCGGAGTTCCTTGTAAGCATATAGCGAATTAGTTCTTTGTATCAGGAGTTTTTATATAGCAAACAGTTTTACATTTAACGAACTGATTGTTTACCATTGTCCGCCATTTTGAAGATCATTTGATTAAGAAAAAATAGTCCATTGTTTCTATTTTAGACACAATACCCGAGAGCGTACTTTTTGGAATTTGAAAATCATTGCTATTTCAGTTTTAGTTTTACTCCTTATCTCAATTTCTCATAAAATATAATATTTTGTTTCTAAACTCTTTTCGTTTTCTTTCCATGATTAAGAATAAACAAGATTTTCGATTTTTCCTTCCTTTTATATTGAATATCTTCTATTATAATTTAAGGGTGACTTTTAGTAATATAAGATATAGATTATTATAATTATTTTATTCGAGCAAAACTATTGAAGAAAAGAAATAAATAACCGTTTTATCTTGGTGAAAAGAGCTCATGCTAAAAATATCCTAAATAAAAAACTATACAAATTCATTCAAATAGATGTATTGAAGTACATACAACAATAAACGGTACATTCGGCCGAGTTTTAATCCGTGCCAATGAAAAGTTGAAAATGCGGGATCTATTTACGGATAGCCAATATTTTGGAGTTCGTTATAAAAGTGTAATTTTCTGTACTTTTAACTAAATTGGGACTAAGAAATGAGTTCCTTATAAGCGATAATTCCTTATAACCGTGTTTATTTTTATATTGAATAAAGAAGGGCAAAATTCGGGCCAAAATAAATTATTCCCTATAACCGGAAATTCGCTATAACCGTGTTTGCTATAAGTGAAGTTTACTAGTACATCTTTCTCAAGTTTGATTTTCTTGAAAGATTTTTGCTGATCTGGAGGCATGTAGCATTTAATCTGTCATGGTCAGAATTTCTTGCGTGATCTGTTGTTGTTTAAACAATGACGTTTGGTCCTTATCACAATACTTTAGTCACAAGTGGTGACTGCGTGAATAACTGCACAGTTGATGCAATTTCCGTTATTTTCTGATCGTAAGATATTGTAATGTATGTCATGTGCATAAGGAAGAGGTTTTGTTAACTCTGTATTACTTCAGTGACTGTGTTACTTGAGTGACTACAGTTATTCAGTTAATTACTTCATGCATTGACAAGGTATTCAGTTATTTTAGTCACAATAGTGCCTTGTACTGAGTGATGGCATAGGCAGCACATGTCATAAATCCTCAAACAGTGAATATAATTATATTTTCACTCAAGTTTTAGGCCACATCCCATGCATTCTTTAGAATTTGGAAAATATAGCATGGTTACCATACATGTGAAATCTCCCACTTCCTGCAGCCATATTTTCAAAGATTTTTCTTAGAATAAGGGGTATTTTCACAAATTAAAGAAATCTCCCTCTTTTTGATGTCAGAACTTTCTTCTTTATTTATTGCAAATTTTAAAATCTCCCTCTTTTTGATGGAGAAGCTCCCACTTGATCATTGAAAAAAGTTCACATGTATGGGTTACTTTGCGGGAAACTTTTACTATGTTTAGTTATTTTCAAGATCCAAATCGGCAAGTTTTAGCTGTGTTATCATTTAGGATCACTTCTTTAATTGGCCTCAGTTTTCGCACTCACACAAAGAAAGCAACAAGGAAAAAAAATACTTTTAAGATATATATTCTCTGTGACAAAAAAAATGTGACCGTCTCATATTGTGGGACTGATCTATTGTTCAGATATGGTTGTAACAGGTGCTTGAAAATTTAGATATCATGTTCAGATTTACTGACAATTTACAATGTTTCCTTGTTAATGTACTGGTGTAACATACATTAAAGATATGCCATTTTTTTTCTCCACGAATGTGTGCTTGCTGGATGAATGGCTCTATCCAGGTCCCTTCTTGTGCCTTAACACTTCTTAAACTGCTGAATTTGTCCCATGGATGTGTCCTGCTTTGAATTTGAAACATTCCATTTGAAAGTTTAAGGTATTTTTTATCAAAAATACAAAAAAAGAGCAACCAACGTCATAGAGCCTGGTCAGACTGCACAGATTTTCAAGCTGGCCAGACTCTATACTGGTAACCACTGTTGGTTCGTTCAATATTATCTTTCATGTGTCTGTTACTTAACCAAAAACTGTCAAAGCTTAGTTATTTTGGACAATGTTTATAAATTTATATATAAAAAAAAAGAAATGGCCAGTTAATGAATATGAATTGGGTTCTAAAATTAATCAAGTCAGCTTTGTTATTAATTTGAATTGTCAAGGGGTGTTTTTCGGTACAAGTTTGAAATGATGCAAAAATTTATTTATAATTGAGTTTGAGTATAGTTTTCAAATGTACTTTACTTTTAATGCAATAAACAGGATTTCTTGTTCGTAGGTATCAATTTACCGTCAGTCATTGAAAATTTGCTATAGAAGTGCAAAACTCTTGAAAATAACAATCAGTCATAGTTCATTACACCGAGATACTTATGATATAAATGATAAGATAAGTAGATTTATACAACTGCGTCATAACTATGTTAACATAGTCAATGATGACACTGATTTAATATCTTATTTGTTTAAAACATAGTTGAAATGAAATTAAATCATTCTATTCTTTTCTTCTACACAAGTTTACATCATGGCTGAGTGATAAGGGTTACTGACTTCAAAACAACTGACCTCAGTGAGTGCGAACCCCACCAGGGACTGTGGGTACTTTTATGTCAGCTTATGTTGGTCAGAATTTAGTTTCTACTCAGTACCCGGCTTCTGTCTGAAGTAATGCACAAAGAGTCAACAATATGTCACATGACACTTGAAATGTTTCCCCCCCCCCACACCAGTAAAATCTAACCAGCTAGCTTATGTAAAATGTCAGACTGTAGTTTCTACTTGAGTGCGGGCAAGTTATGCACAAAGTCGTGACACCTGAAGTGTTCCTCCACCAGTAATTCTGAAAAGTTACCATATGACCTTTACAGTGTCATTGTGCATTAACATCCCAATAAATCTAAACAAATTTTATATCATAATTGAATGGTTTAATTATTTTACAGGGCGTGACTATACCAAGTCAAAGAAGATACGTAGAGTACTACGGAGAGCTGATGAAGCATAATGTATCATATGAGAGAAAAACGCTACTCTTCACAAAAGTTAAATTTATTACAGTACCTCATCTAAACAACGGCACCTGTAGTAAGTAACTGAAGATTTATATTATTAAATCTTACCCAACTTAGCTTAAGTACTGGACTTATCTTATTTTGAAATTGGTACTTACCATAGATGTTAGCCGGAACTAGGCAAATATGGGTTTTTCCAATCTTCTCCAAGGGTACAAACAAATGTTTACTGCCAAAGCTTCCCTGTCCAATAGCTTCACTATAGAGTGATCAATATATTAAGTTTATTATTGATATGTTTACCAAGTTGTAAAAGTAATAGTTCATTTGTACCCCTAGGCTAGAGTAAGGTGGGGGAAAAACCCGCATTTGTGGATTATAATCTTAACATAAAATGTGTGAGCAAAATGTATGGTTAAAGATTTAATGTTTAATTTTAATAATACACCTCCATGGTCAAAAAGATTTTTTTTCCAACATTTTTTTTTTATACAGAGTATATCTATTTGTTAGTTATCTAGTTGTTTAAATCAGCATGTAAAAGAAATTTAACAAACCAAATAAAAATAATGGTTTCATGATTTGTGAATGTTTGTAGGCAGGTTTACAATTCCTAATACATTTCTCATGGGATTTCAACCAAACTCAGCAAGTGACCTGGTTGACTTTGTGATTTGATTATTTTGCGCAGAATTATATAGTAGTTTCAGGGTATTTATTTCTTTTCCACTCAGGAAAACTTGGTTTTTGTGACAGTTTCCTGTCAGTTATTATTAAATTTTTGTCTTTTGACTTGATCATTCAGAAACAAACTTTCGAAGATAAGCAAAACCTTCATTACTAGATATGTTTAAGACTATTTATTTGGCAACATTTCTCTGTCACTGCTGATTGAATGGTTAATTATTGCTCACACATTGTTATTGGTATAAAATCCAGGATTAACAATAAAGTCTCCTATCACACACGTCATTAATGGTTTATATTCCTGGATTAACAATAAAGTCTCCACTCTTGTGTAAGATGATACCGTCATACAACCACAATCTGTCCAGTACATGTGATCCTACATCGTGATTTAAAGTTTATCACATCATTAAATTAAGCTCAGACTTTAATGTTCCTGTAATATTTCACTGTACATTGTTACTCCACATTGTCAATGTACACTGTTCCTGCACATTGTTTGTGTTCATTGTTACTCCTCATTGTTCCTGTTCATTGCCAGTGTACATTGTTACTGAACATAGTTTGTGTTCAATGTCAAGTGCACATTGTTTCTCCACTTTGTCAATGTTATTGTTACTGCACATTGTTTGTGTTCAGAGTCAGTGTACATTGTTACTGCACATTGTTCCTGTTCAATGTCAGTGTACATTGTTACTGCACATAGTTCCTGTTCAATGCCAGTGTACTTTGTTACTGCACATTGTTCCTGTTCAATGTCCTTGTACATTGTTACTGCACATTGTTCCTGTTCAATGCCAGTGTACATTGTTACTGCACATTGTTCCTGTTCAATGTCAGTGTACTTTGTTACCACACATTTTTCCTGTAAAATTTCATTATACATTGTTGCTGCACATTGTTCCTGTTCAATGCCAGTGTACATTGTTAATGCACATTGTTCCTGTTCTATGTCCTTGCACATTGTTACTGCACATTGTCACTGTACATTGTTACTGGATAATGGTAGTGTACATTATTGTTTCACATTGTTCCTGTTCAATGTCATTGTACATTGTTACTGCACATATCATCACTGTGCATTGTTTGTTTCTTGAAAGGTTGTAAATTGTTTCACTGTTTTCATTGTTACAATTGTGTACTTTTCATTGTTACAGATGTGTACTATGATATATCTGCCTCAAAAGTGAAGCTGGCTTCATCAACAGTATTTGAGGGTCAACAATCAAAGAAAGGTACAATTCTAGAAATGCCCTTACAGAAAGCTGTTGTTGTGTGCAGTGATGTATGTGTGGATTTTTTTCACAAAACTCCTAGGATAGGAAAAAAGGTATGACACATCTTAACAATATTTTCAATTTTTTATGTCAGTTGGCTTGTGAATAAGGAAATGATTTGTAAACTTTCATCTGGTGACAAGATGTTTATGATCTTGTTGTTAGCCTGTTAAAGGCACATTATGCCTCAGAAATCCACATTTATTAATGTTTTAAAAAATTTCAAGCATATGTTTGATAATGTTTTAATAATGGATTTAGAGAATGTTAGATGTTAAATAGCTGAAGAAAGTAGCACTGAATGTTCAGTAATGTGCCGTACAGGTAGCAAATTGTAAACAAAGTTGTATTTTGACTTCCATGTAAACAAAGTAGTATTTTGACTTCCATGCAAACAAAGTAGTATTTTGACTTCCATGCAAAATACTAATTCACTATAATTATACCAGTTGCCAACAAAGCAAAAGTAGCAAAGATATCTCAATTACATGGCGAATGTTTGTTTTTTAGAAACTTTTATCAAGATACCAAAATTATAAGTATTTCTTAGAGATAATGGGCCTAAAGAGCTTACTAACATGTTCAATGAAAGGAAAGCTTTATCTGTTGATGCGAGTCTACTTTATGCTTGGTTGGGTTTTAAGTCACACTAACAACACTGTAAATGTCATAATTTTGGCAACTTAACTAGAGGTAAAAGACCTCAGGTGGCTGGCCTGGATACAGTTTATATTATATCCTTGGAGACATTATGTAAAAGTTTTTGATCTTCAAGGTTGATTTAAATCATAAATGATTTATATTAGGAGGAAGTTTTCAGGTATGTTAGGAAAGAAATCAGTCTACTTGGTTGATAACAATTAAATTTTTGTCACACAATAGTACAACTCTTACAAGAAAGAACATATATGAGCCGTGTCATGACAAAACCAACATAATGGGTTTGCAACCAGCATGGATCCAGACCAGCTTGCGCAGTCTGATCAGGATCCATACTGTTCGTTTACAAACCCTATAAAAAGTAAAGAAACTGATAGCGAACAGCATGGATCCAGACCAGCCTGCGCATCCGCGCAGTCTGATCAGGATCCATGCTGGTCGCAAACCCATTATGTTGGTTTTGTTGTTACGCGGCTCATATAGAGTTGGTTTAGGTTATGTTTAAATTAATATAAATAATTGAACAAAATAGGAGCTGTTTTGTGGTTACTTGAAATTTAATTAAAAAAGTAGGAACCTTACCTATTATGACACTACATTTGACTTCAGGAAACAAGCTCAGAAATGCTTAATACAAATAAGAGCCTGCAATACTGTAAAGCCTGTATATATGACTTTAAAGTAAATTTTCTTCAGCCAAGTATTATAAATTCATTACAAGCTATTTGTTTTTTACAGGAGAGGATATTTCAATGTTGGTTCAACACATTCTTTATCAAGGACGAGGAATATTGTGAGGATGAGAACGGGAAAAAGAAGCGCTACCTCACTCTTACTATGACCAAGTCAGAACTTGATAAAGCCAACAAAGACAAAACAAACAAAATCTATAAAAAAGATTTCAAGGTTTGCCATTAATAAAACCTTTACCACTCTAAATATCATAAATGGACTTGAGTGCTTTGAACCTGTATTGAAACTTTGACAAAATGTCTCGATCTGTAGAAAATGTGTATTTTCATATAGTTCAAAATGTCTGTGTCAGCAGAAAATACATATTTTCATATAGCAAAAAGCCAGCTTTATTGTTGTTCTGAATATAATTATCGACCAGTTATATTGACAAAGAGGGAGTTTGTTTTCTTTCCAAAGTTAAAAGTTGTTAACTTGCTAAGATCAAAAGCGATTTTCGAAAGTCTGGTTTTTCTTTCGCTGTTCTACCGTTCAAGTCTGTTTTGCTTTGCCCTTCGTTATACACTATAAAAGGGAATTTTAGGAGGGAAGCTGTTGCCCTCCGTTATACACTATAAAAGGGAATTTTAGGAGGGAAGCTGTTGCCCTCCGTTATACACTATAAAAGGGAATTTTAGAAGGGAAGCTGTTGCCCTCCATTATACACTATAAAAGGGAATTTTAGGAGGGAAGCTGTTGCCCTCCGTTATACACTATAAAAGGGAATTTTAGGAGGGAAGCTGTTGCCCTCCATTATACACTATAAAAGGGAATTTTAGGAGGGAAGCTGTTGCCCGCCTTTATACACTATAAAAGGGAATTTTAGGAGGGAAGCTGTTGCCCTCCGTTATACACTTTAAAAGGGAATTTTAGAAGGGAAGCTGTTGCCCTCCATTATACACTATAAAAGGGAATTTTAGGAGGGAAGCTGTTGCCCTCCTTTATACACTATAAAATGGAATTTTAGGAGGGAAGCTGGAAGGATTTAGTACATCGTCATGAATGCATTAGGTGAATGCATTAGGATTAATTATGTACAATTAAGTTCTTTCATGACCTCTTTGACCATTTATGGTATTCTAAGTAACACTGTAGAAATAGATATTTTCAAAAACAATAATATAGGAAAGGGTTGTAGTAGAAATATATTTAGAAAATATGCAAAATAACAGGAAGATGTACTAATTGTAGAATGCATCTTCAAAGGTAAGCTTATTTGTAATGTCATTAAAATTCTTGCATAAAATGAAAATATATACATATATATTTTTTAAACGTTTGTGTTTTAGGTGGTGTTTTATTTTGAATACCCCATTGAAGGGACTTATATCAGCAATCCAAATGGTGTAAATAGATCTCGGACTGATGATAGCTTATGTACAAGACCAACAGCTAGGAATGGAAATACCAGTAACGGCAGTATTAGAGGTATTGGTACAAACCGGAATGCTGTTACTTTGCCGGTTGAATCTTTGAGTAGATTTCACCTATCTGATAGTGACGCAGTTTGTTCGGAGGATTCCAGTCCAAGAGGTCCCCCGACGTCACAGTCGTTTCCGGAGTTAGGAAAGTTTGAGAATGCTAGTACATTAGTTAGTGCACAAAAACATCTACAAGTTACAAATAAACAAACTCGCCCTCCAAAACACTCGCCTACGGGCAATCGCAGAGGGCGTAACTTTACTGACGTGAATAGTGATAACGACTTGGCTTCAACGGGTGAAAGTGATCAAGAGGATAATTTCTCGGACAGCGATACTGATGATGAATGGGATGGGTGTGAAGTGACAGCGGTATAGTGGTTAATGTACAGATATACTGTCTTGTATGGGATATGAAAGCATAATATGTCAAATGAAATATTTTATTATTAAGAAACGCTATTTTTCCTGTAGGAGACAGTATAAATTTTGTTAATGTGATGAGTGTATGGCAGCTTAAATGGTTTTTAAAAAGTAATTTAATAATTTAAATCAAGTCACTTTGTACAAAAAATATATATATATATAATAAACATGAGTTAGGGGACCAGTCTAAAACTATAGCTTCTGATTGGCTGTTTCGAGTCGCTGATTTGAAATTATCCTTGGTCAAAGTCTGGCAAACTTGATTTATTGCATTTCTTTGCTTTTAAGTTTTATGGGCAGAAATAAAAAGGCTTTAATTTTGATAAACAACAATTTACAAGTAGAAATCATGGTTATTTCCTATTATGTTCTTTTTTAACCTGTATGTATTCAGGTTGTGTCTTTTAAAATTCAAGAAACTTTGTTTTGAATTCCTTTTAATAGACTTGCTTATATTTTTAAAAGTATTGTTATGTTGATATACACATGAACAGCTACTGTCCTTTATAGATTAAGATGAGTTACTATTAAGCGTATATAAATTTCAAATTCTGCTCTTCTTTGTATTTGTTTTGCAACAAAATAATACTGCATAGGAGACAGCAGGTACCCTCATTATATTACTGTTACTGTGAAAGATGCAGTATGATACAGGTTTTCAAATTGGTAAAAAAAAAAATCTCACCCACAACTTTTTTTAGCCCATCTGTCTGATTTTTAGCTCACCTTGCACAAAGTGCAGGTGAGCTTTTAGGATGGCCAACCAAATGGCGTCCGTCGTCTGTCGTCCGTCCACATTTTAAATATTCTAAGGACATCTTCTATGATACCGCAAGGCCAATGTTAATGAAACTTGGCAGGAATACTCTTTGTATGAAGCTCTATCAAGATTGTTCAAAGAATTCCATTTCATGCAGAACTCTGGTTGCCATGGCAACCGAAAGAAAAATCTTTAAATATCTTCTTTTAAAGAACCGTAAGAGCTAGAGCTTAGATATTTGGCATGAAACATCTTCTAATGAGTGTCTACCAAGTTTGTTCAAATAAAAGCCCTAGGGTCAAAATTGGCCTCGCCCCAGGGGGTCATTGATTTTCCCTATATGCATATAGTAAAAACTTAAAAAATCTTCTTTTAAAGAACCCAAAGAGCTAGAGCTAAGATATTTGACATGAAATATCTTGTAGTGAGTGTCTACCAAGTTTGTTCAAATAAAAGCGCTGGGGTCAAAATTGGCCCCGCCCCGGGGGGTCATTGATTTTCCCTATATGCATATAGTAAAAACTTAAAAAATCTTCTTTTAAAGAACCCAAAGAGCTAGAGCTAAGATATTTAGCATGAAACATCTTCTAATGAGTGTCTACCAAGTTTGTTCAAATAAAAGCCCTGGGGTCAAAATTGGCCCCGCCCCAGGGGGTCATTGATTTTCCCTATATGCATATAGTAAAAACTTAAAAAATCTTCTTTTAAAGAACTCAAAGAGCTAGAGCTAAGATATTTAGCATGAAACATGTTCTAATGGGTGTCTACCAAGTATGTTCAAATAAAAGCCCTGGGGTCAAAACTGGCCCTGCCCCGGGGGTCATTGATTTTCCTTATATGTGTATAGCAAAAACTTAAAAATCTTCTTTGAAAAAACCCAAATAGCTTGAGTTTAGATATTATACATGAAACATCTTTAAGTAAATATCTACAAAGTTTGTTCAAATAAAAGCCGGGGGGGTCAAAACTGGCCCTGTCCCAGGGGTGTCATTGTTTTTAACTATATGTGTATAGTAAAAACTTAAAAATCTTCTTTTAAAAAACCCAATGAGCTAGAACTTAGATGTTTAGCATGAAACATCTTCTTATGGGTGTCTACCAAGTCTGTTCAAATAAAAGCCCTTGGGTAAAAATTGGCCCGGGGGGGGGGGGCTATATAGAGGTGAGCGACCTCAGGGCCATCATGGCCCTCTTGTATTTGAAAGAGTCGCCCAGTTTTGAATTTGGATGAGTCCATTGCCAGTATAAGATAAGGGATGTTTATACTCAAACTACAATTAATGAACCCCTTCATGAATGTGCTAGGCTAGTCTGATTCTGTATGTTGTAACCCTTTCCACACTAAATATCTTTAATGGACTTGACCTGCTATGCATTTGACACGACGTTTCATCATTTTAGCTGGTCGGTTTGGAAGAAAATGTAGGGCTATTATAATCGCTGCGATATAGTCGACTTTGTGCAAAAACTTCAATGTAGCCCAGTATTCAAACATTTCAGAAATTGTCAACAATGCAGTTGTAAGACAAGGAGTATAATTCTGAAAGCAATATATTTTGAGTTATGCCTCTTTTTAACCTGGAATATTTAACAAACGAGCGTTAACACCACATGCGATGCGCTTGTTCAATAATTTACTGATAAGCCAACAGTGCAGACCATGATAATATGAAAAAGATGTGGTTGTTGATCTTGGTATGCACTTATTGCATGGGTAGATATTGTAGCCACCAGCAGTTTAAGGGTTCAAGTACTAGAAAAAACATACCATATCTCGAAGAAATGTGTAAATGTTCCCAATCCATGGGACATCTACCATGATATTATAATGTACTGTTAATTTGAAATATATGATTTTTTTTCTCTCTAGAAAATATTGAATTGACTTGGTAATTCTATATGTGAAGTCAGTGATAATATATTTCCCTTAATGGTTATTTCTCATTATTGGGAGAAAAAAAGACGCCACAAATAAAGTAATCACTAAGTAACACACTGTATAAGATTTCACAATCTATGTAAATTAGTCTTACAGGGAAAATTATTTAGCACGTTAACGACAATAGATAGATAATAAAGAGTCTTGGGGATTTTAAGATACCGTAAACAACCATATAAATGCCCACTGAAGTGAAAAGATCTGAATGTTAGTGATGATATTTTAAAAAGGATGTAAAATTTTACGATAAAACTTAAAAAAAGATTGTGTGAGGGAAATAAAAGATAAGATCAGTAGTAACATGGGAGGTACTGTGTCGTAAATGGACAAAATGCTTTATACATGTCTTTTATTTAAGATTTGTATGAGGAATTATCATAACCATTAGTAAATGATATTTTTTGAAGAGTTAAATTTATCCTCTAGTTATGTACAACAGAAACATAGGAAGCAGTAAATTAAAAAAACATACAGTATGTGCATTAGAAGGAACACTTTTAAGTGGTACTTTAAATGATAAAGATGAAAACAAATTGAGGAAAGTATTTTGAATGGTAGTAAAAGGGATTAGAAACAAATTTGTTTTAACATGGGTGGGAAAATAAAAAGAAATGTAAATTTATATAGATTATGTATCAAGGAAGTTAAAATAAACTTCAAATTTAATAAATCATATTTGTTTTAAAAAAAAAAAAAAGATGTTAAAATATGATAGCAGTAACTGGTATGTTCTGACGACAATTTTTAACCTTTTACCTGCTAAATGGACTTGTCCACCTGTCATATTGGACAAAACCATTCATTATTTTAGGTAATTTATATACGCCTGTTTGAAAAACGGGACGTATTATGGGAACGCCCCTGGCGGGCGGGCGGGCGGCGTCCAATTTTGTCCGGAGCATATCTCCTACATGTATGGAGGGATTTTAATGAAACTTCATAGAAATGTTCACCACTATGAGGAGCAGTGTCGCGCACATGAACCAGGTTTCTAGGTCAAAGGTCAAGGTCACACTTAGAGCTCAGTGAAAAATGCTTGTCCGGAGCAAAACTTCCACATGTATCGAGGGATTTCAATATTACTTGGCACAAATGTTCACCATTGTGAGGCGGAGTGTCGCGTGCAAGATTCAGGTCCTTGCGGCCAAGGTCAAGGTCACACATAAAGGTCAAAGTTCAGATAAAAATATGAAGATGTGTATATGGACCATTTAGTCATCATTTATTGAGGGATTGTAACACAAATGGTCATTATCAAGACTATGGCTGTGATACATATAATTTAGGTCAATATATACAAGGTCAAGGTCACTAAAGATGATGAAATATCCAGATTTTGTAAATAGAATTTTATCAAAGGGCGACAACAAAGTTATTACTTTGTTCATAAATGACTTACACAATTACTCCCCTTGATCTACTTTCACTTTCAATTCTAAAAATAGAATTTAATCAAAGGGCATAAATGATCCTCTTTCTTGGACTTGAGTATGTTCTTAAGAATGTAACATTTATTTACACATGTTTCATTTATTGGTCAAGATTCTTAACTGTGATAACTATGGTGTTATGTAGACTTGGTATTTGTTCATAAAGATCATACAGTAATAACCTTATCAAATGTAAATACTTTCTCATAGAAATTTAATTATATTTTAATTTTCAAGTAAATATCAGTTCAGCTCTCCTACATGTATGGAGGGATTTTCATGAAACTTCATAGAAATGTTCACCACTATGAGGAGCAGTGTCGCGCACATGAACCAGGTCTCTAGGTCAAAGGTCAAGGTCACACTTGGAGCTCATTGAAAAATGCTTGTCCGGAGCAAAACTTCCACATGTATCGAGGGATTTCAATATTACTTGGCACAAATGTTCACCATTGTGAGGCGGAGTGTCGCGCGCAAGATTCAGGTCCTTGCGGTCAAGGTCACACATAGGGGTCAAAGTTTAGATAAAAATATGAAGATGTGTATAGGGACGATTTAATCATCATTTATTGAGGGATTGTAACACAAATGGTCATTATCAAGGTCACTAAAGATGGTGAAATATCCAGATTTTGTCTGGAGCATATCTCCTACATGTATGGAAGAATTTTTATAATACTTTATGGAAATGTTCACCACCATGATATGTATTGCTCCATGCATGATCCAGGTCTCCAGGTCAAAGGTCAAGGTCACACTTAGAGCTCATTGAAAAACGCTTGTCCGGAGCAAAACTTCTACATTCATAGGGGGATTTCAATATAACTTGGCACAAATGTTCACCATTGTGAGGCTGAGTGTCGCACGCAAAATTCAGATCCCTGCGACCAAAGTCAATGTTACACATAGAGGTCAAAGTTCAGATAAAAATTTGAAGATGTGTATAGAGACCATTTAGTCATTATTTATTGATGGATTGTAGCACAAATGGTAACTATCATGACTACAGGTGTGACACATTTAATTTAGGTTAATATTTGCAAGGTCAAGGTCACTGGAGATGATTAAATATCCAGATGTTGTCCGGAGCATATTTTCTACATGCATGGAGGAATTTTAA